CTCCTCCTCCTCCTCCTCCTCCTCCTCCTCCTCCTCCTCCTCCTGTGGTGCATGCCTAGGAGTGAAATTCCTTGGTCCAAATGGTAACATCTTCTGTGTTACCCAGGCTAGCTTCAGGCTTGGAATCTGCTTCTGTCTCCAGGATAGCTGGGATTACAAGTGTGCACCATACACTTAGAATCCTACCTAGTCTTTTTTTGGGGGGTGTGTGTGTGTGAAGTGGGTAAGTGGCATGAAGAGGGGGTTGAATTTGTCATTTTCTTGCCATCTTTAAGGTAACAGGTGTTAAAGTCATTGTCAGCAGGGTGTGATTTTAGGGGACGTCCTCCATCTTCCTGCAGCCTCTTCACACAGCCTCTTCACTGTGCCCATGCCATTGTTCCTAGGTGGTGATTTGAGTTTGTTACTGTTAAAAGTTACAAAAAGTGATGTCAAACCAGAGGTGCAGAAGCTATGCTGTACAGATGTATCCACTGGGGCTGGGCTCTCCAAGAGTTGTTGCTCTGTGTATTATATCTAGTTGTGGTTTTCTAAGGTGATCTCCATTTGCTGTAAAGAGTGGCTTGTTTGAGGAGGGGGTGGCTACACTTAGCAGAGGGTGTGAGGGTAGGATTTAGAATGTAGTAAGGGATTATGTTCAAATACAAGTGGCAATAGCGAATTTTCCGCTAGGTCTGTGACCTCACTGACCCTGGCAGAAAGACCTAAAGAGCCAGAGTGTGAGGGAGTCTCCTGTGCAACAGTCCTAGAAATGGCTGCTTCAGAACAGTGCTCAGCAATGGCAGTATCAACAAGCACGCTGAAGGGGGGGGGGATGTTTGCCATGTCCCCTCCTAGACAGAGGAGAATTAGCCCCTTTATTGGTTGTCCAGCGCAGAGTGGTGAGCCCCCAAATCATATACACAAACAACAACAACAAAAATGGACTCTGCAGGCTGTATTTATATATATTTGTCCATATATACACATACATCATACATACATATACATGTAACAGTAATCTAAGAAAAATGAGGTATCAACATAAGAAGAGGGTGCCTTGAGGTTTGAGGGAGGAAAAGAAGGGAAAATGCTATTTCAATTAAATAGAATTAAATGTAATTGGTTCAGTTTTTTAAGTGGAGACAAATGTTGATGTTGCCGTTGTTTTCCTTTCATCTCCTGAACACAAGCACCTCTGTGAGATGGTTATAAATGAGTTTATATTTGGTAGATTCCAGTGCCATATATTTGCAAAGACCAGGTGCTACTGGTATTTAAATATTTTATGTTTTTGAGCTTTTAGTTCATTACCTGTTTGGATTATGAAAAAATAGCACACACTGGAGAGTATTGAAAAATGTATAGCCCAATTTGCTGGGATTGATTCTCAGCCTTGGCTAAGATCTTGTTTGCAGTCTCTGTTGCTGGCGTCTGGCTAAACCCTGTTCTGACTGTCCCTTTGTAGCGCCTTTGGACTTCACGTATGGAGTCATGCTGTGCATGTTCTCCTGTGAGGTGATGTTCTCCAGCAACATTTGAGTGGGGCCTTTGCCGTGCATTGTTTTTCAGTGCTTGGCAGTGGTCCATGAATGGACGGGGTTAGGATTTCCTACTTCACTGTGTGAGGCTCTATTTTTAGGTGTCTGAGCATTAGAAGTAAATACTTGGGGGCCGGAGAGATGGCTCAGAGGTTAAAAGCACTGGCTGCTCTTCCAGAGGCCCAAAGTTTAATTCCCAGCAGCCACATGGTGGCTCCCAACCATCTATAATGAAATCTGGTGCTCTCTTCTGGTCTGCAGACAGAACATGGCATACATAATAAAGAAACAAACAAATAAGTATTTCTTTAAAAAAAGTAAATACTTTTTAACTGTCATTTATCATTTCAAGTGGCTTTGATCTTTAGATAAGCTTGTCACCTTCAAATTTCCACTTTCTGTCAGAGAACGCATCTAGATTCTTGTGCTTCATGTTTGTCCCATGTCTTGTCTTTTTTAATTTTTTGTCCGTGAATAAACAGGCATAAAATGGTCTTTAAAATATTAGTTTATTTCATGAGTACATACTCCATCTGTGTGTATGTGGAGCCCATAGAGGCCAGAGGGTGTTGGACACCCTGGAACTGGAGTTACAGATGGTTGTAAACTGCCTGAAGTGGCACTGAGAACCAAACCTGGATCCTTTGCAAGAGTAGCAAGTGTTGTTACCCAGTGAGATGTCTTTCCAGATCCTATAATCAATTTTTAAAAAGTTATTCTGGGTGCTAGAGAGATGCATTGACAAAATATTGGTAAAGAGAGGGGCTAAAGAGGTGGGTCGTTTTGGAGAGCCCTTGCTTTCCCTTGGAGAAAGTTTCAAGTAGTTTCAGTTCCCAGCATCTACTTCAGTCAGGGCAGATGGAGCCTCACCTGGAATCCCAGCTCCTGTGGATCCACTGCCTTCTTTCGGCCTCTGCGAGTACTTGCACGCATGTGTACACACATTCACACAGACACGCTGCAAAAGAAAAAATCCATCCTGACACTATCTCTGTCGCTTAGACATAAAATTTGAGACAGGTCCTCATGTTGTCCAGGCTAGCCTCAGACTTGAAACTCGTGGTTCTCTTGCCTCGGCCCTCCCTTGTGCTGGGATTACAGGTGTGAGCCACCACACCCCCGAACATTTTATCCTTTAGTGCAGGTCTGCTTGGCAGTGCATCTTAGCTTTGTTTAATGGCATGTGATTGTATTTTCTGGTGACACTTTGGAATTTGTAGGGCTTGATGTTTTCTATTTACAAAAAGACTTTGGCCCTAACTCTGACAGGTTTGTTTTTGTCTCTTCTAGGGTAGTCACATGTTAGGGGAGTTCTGTCTTGTTAACCCTCTGCCCTGTTCCCGGCTATATGCTGGGTATTTTCTATTGGTCTTCCAGTTTAGCAATTCTCCGTAGCCTTTTCTTTTCCGCTCCCATTTCTCCTCTTATTTGATCTGGGCCCCGACCTGGTACCTTTCTTATTCTATAACTTTGTGAGTAATTAGTGCTATACTCCTTAGAGAACAAAATGTGGGGATTACCGTTGCAGTGGAACACAAGGGAGGATACTTTTCAGCCCAGCCACTGCCTGCTAGCCTCCTGAGAGGCCGGCGGGTCAGTTTGCTGCCCTTGCAATTCCCCTCCACGCAGAGTCACATCTCTTCAGTTAATCTGATGAGCGCTTAATGTTGTTTTTCTAAAGATTTCAGATGGCTGATTTTTATGGTTTCCAGTTCTTTGGGTGGAGCAGCATGTGGGGCTGGTACCTCAGCAGCTGGAGTCCCTGTGCATCCGTGTCCACTACTGTGGGTTGTTTTTCAGTTTTAGCCCTTTTTACAAAACAAAGCGGTCTTTATTTTTTAGAGCAGTTTGCATTTCTCAGCAGAAGTGAGGGTGAACTATAGGTTCTCATGCCCCTTCTGTGTTTTTGTTGTTGGCTTTTAGTCATGTCATCCTGTCTTGTGCCTGCATCTTTTTACTTGTGTGTCAGAAATTGTGTTTGTACAATTATTTTAGAAATCAATTGCTGCCTAGTATTGTCTTTCTCCAGAAAGAATTTTAGGTTTGTCTCTGCCAAGAGGACTGGCAGGCTGGTGTGATTTTGCCCTGGCTTTGGAGCTGATCCTTTTGAAGTAGAGTTGCAGCTCCCAGTAGGGTCTGCCAGTCAGGCTCAGGGTTAATCTCAGTGGTGCAGTCTGCACACTGAGAGGGCGGTTCGTGTGGTTCTTGCCCTGCCAGTATTGAAGGTTGACCTTCCTTTGGAAAACAGACCCAAATGCCTCTTGTCCCTGTCTTATTAGCAATGCCTTCAAGCAGAAATTTTGCTATTTTGTCCAGTTCTTCTAGTTGGCTGTTGCCACTGAATTGGCTCAATAACTCACTGGAACTCCAAGCGAAAGTCTCACTCCTTAGTTTTGTGTCTAAGGTTCCCCGCTCCCCCAAATATAAATATTTAATATTTATATGTCAGGGCTGGAGAGATGGCTCAGTAGTTAAAGAGCACTGGTTACTCTTCCAGAGGACCTTGGTTTGATCCCCAGCACCCACATGGCGTCTCACAGCCATTTGTAATTTCATTCCCAGGGGATCTGATGCCCTCTTCTGGCTTCCTCAGGCACTGCACAACATGTACAAAACCCCTGTACACATAAAAGACTAGATGTGTAGTCTAGTCTGGCCTCAAATTCACTGTTGTTGCAGAGGGTGATTTGACTCCTGATTCTTCTGACTCCACCTCCAAATGCTGGGATTGTAGGTGTACACCACCACAGCTGCCTTTTGTGTAACTAGTCAGTTCTTACAAAAGTAGGAGCTGTTTAATCTAAAATAATAAAAGAAGGCATACCAAAGTCCAAAGAACAAAAGGGATTTAAAAAAAAAAAACCTGCCCCAAATTGTGTGCTGTAGAGGTGAGCATTGTGGGGGCTGTCTTTGGTCTCTCCCTCTGCTTGTCTCACACGTGTAGTACTGGTCCTGGATTTGTGGCAGGCATTGTACAGGTGCATGATGCAGAGCTGCATTCGCCTGTCTCGCACTGTGGAAGAGCTTGGTTCAGAGCATGGCATCTGTGTCTTCAGTTTTCTCTTTATACATCAGGATACCTCAGTGCCCGCTGAGGGTGCAGCTGATACACACGCAGCCCTAGAATGTGCTCACGATCGCTATAATCGCTCTTCCCAAACATCCTGCGTGTATCTTAGAAGGTACAAAGTGGTAACTGCTGAGTACTCCGTATGGTCAACATACCGAGAAGCTGAGCACTTTCTGCTCTCCCCACTCCCCAAACACAGACTGTGGTTAACTTGCTGAGGCAAGTAACATGGATCCAGTTGGGGTCCATGCGCTCGCGATGGAGGGTGAAAGGATGTGGTGGAGACTGGCGCATGTGTTGTCACAGGGAACGGTTCCCACCATATGTCAGGCACTCTCCTGTCCTTACCCTCAGGTTCTGTTGCAGCAGATAGTTGCTCTGTTGGGTGGGAACGCTGTGTAACTTGGAGCTGCCCTTTGTCTCCACAGGTGCAGCAGTACCGAGTAGCCATGACCGCCAAGGACTGTTCCATTATGATCGCACTGTCCCCTTTACAGGGCACAAGGTGAGGCACCATTGTATAACACCTATCTTGATCTAATGGTTTTACGGCACAGGGATGGCAAGTAGGCTCCCTTATTTAGAAACCCTGCCTGACAGGGCTGCTGTTTCTTTGGTATATTTGTTCTCATAGGGCTTTATTTATTTATTTATTTATTTATTTATTTATTTATTTATTTATTTATTTATTTATTTATTTTAAGGAATGGGGAGCTTATTTATTAACTCTTATTCTCTAGAAACCTGTGACTTAATTAAAGGCATTTCTGGACAACAACAGGCTTTCATTTAAAAATGATTATTCTTGTATATGTTACTATTTCTATTAAATTGGGATGTTCATTACTGTTATAAGAAAATAGTCTAGTAACTTAGAAGCAGTGTGGATGTGGCAAATTCCTTTCAGAGGAAGCCCAGGCTACATCCAAATTGGAGCACTGAGCCTTTAACAGGTTGCAGGATGTACTATCACAAACTCACTCATTTTTAAACCTCCAAACAGCATATTTGTTATTTTTGTTTCTTTTCTGAATAGTTTGGCTAGTTGTGGTCCCCTCCCTTAGCTTTTAGTAGTTCAGGCTGAGCCTGACCGTTTCGTAGGTAGCACCTCTATGTTGCTCTCAGGGGCGCCGGGCCCGCTGCAGACTCTAGGACCCTCCACATCTGACCTGTTCCTCGGTTAGGGTGACCACCCATCTTTCTGATGGGTTGGTTTGTTTTTGTTTCTGATGTTTTGAGGTTCTCTAGCAGGCACAGCACTGTCTACTTTGTGGCATAGCATGCTGAGGAAGGTGCGTCTGGTGGGGGCAGTTGACTGTTCAGTTGTAAACTCCTGTTACCTTCCAAGACAGACCCAGAGTTTGGCTGTGAGGGGCCCTTCAATGGACTGTGCTAGTTGAAAGTCGCCCCATGGGTGCTATTTACCATCACCACCTACCCTGCCTGGTCAGGGATGCAGGTAGGAAAGTTAGATAACACATCATTTTTATTTTTAAGTGTTTCAAGCTTAATTTATTTTTCAAATGTGAAGTGTTTAGAACTTTGTGTTAGAAAAGCTTTGCCGTTTGGCCTTGCGTGCGCTTCCTCAAGCCTGTTTTGTGGAAGCTGCAAATTAGCGACCAATTTGAAGAGTGATGAGAGACTGGTAAATTCTGACTTGTTTTTGCAGAGGATTCTAAAAAGGAAGAATGGGCCTTGCCTGCGAGGGTCAGGTCTCAGGGCCAGATAGTAGCCCCATGTATCAGGAGGCTCAAAGTTGGTGGTCCACATCTACCTTCAAGCAAGAGCAAAGGAGGTAGGGGGAGGCAACAGGACTCTCCAAGGTGTCTCTACTGCTGTACTTTCTGCCTGTGGAAGGAGCTGTAGAGGATAGTTGGTAAGAGGAGAAAGGAAGTCCTTCACCTCCAGTTTTTCCTTGGAAAATGCACACAGGCATCAGGAGCTCAGTCTTCTTTGAGGAAGGTAGTGTTGTGCTCACAGGAATTGTACCTAGCTTGGGAAGAAACACCCAAAACCACCAGAGACAAATTAGGGTTGGGTTCATCTTAAGACGAACTTAAGCCTGACTTTATATCCCTTGAGATTCATGTATAGCCCACAAGCCTCTGTGGCTGCCATTTATTTCTGTCATAGTTGAGAGGTTGTTAAGTCATCCTTCTTGTTGCTGCAGGCTTTTGAAGAGTTTGGAACTGCCAGGAAATTTGTTCCTAAGTCGGGCAGGGTCTATTGCAAACAACACAGACAGCTCAGGCTTGCTGCGTATCTATCCCCTGGCCTCCCTTGAAGCTGGCTTGTGCCCCGAAAGCTTTTATGGTGAGGGCAGCAGCTCCCCAGCCCAGTTATCCCACTACCACTATTCAGAGCTACCACAGGGTTGTGTGTGTGGCCATGGCAGTAGGGATAACTGTGCCCCAGCTTTTGCTGGGTCCTAGCAGTATAGTCTGAAGGAGACAGGCTTCTTGGTGTTAAGTGGTTGGTGTACACTGGCCTGTGCATTTGGCTGTTCTGGAGCTTGTGGTTACCTGTCAGACCTGTGGTCCAGTCTAATTCAGTTTTTCCCTTATAAACAGGATTCTGGAACAACAAACAAGAATTAAGGCTTTAGTGTACTTTACAACAGGCCCATGTATGTCAGTGTTTGCTTTTCCAACTAAGGGCTTTTTGAAACTAGTGTTTTGTCTGATTTTTAATGATTTCTAGAGCCACAAGAGTAGTGAGCACGTAGGAAGCAGACCTCCCTTAACAGTTCTCATAGGCCAGCCCGGGATCAGCCTGCGATGCTGTTCAGGCAGTAGTGTGAATGCTACTTCGTATGTTTTCAGAACACGGTTGAATACGCCACAATCTCAGTATCAGGCAGGTTTGAAGTTTTATTCTGAAAAGGTTTTCAAGTAATTGTTCCTATTGTTAGAAGCACATGACTTTATGATATGTATAAAATCCACAAAAGCCCCAAGAAACAAAAAGTATTGAAGATGTGATCTAAGGATTAACACAAAGGCAGCTTGCCCTCCAGATGTGGAAAGCATGAAGGGGTTCTCAGCAGCCATGGGAAAGCGTATAAAGAGAGTCTGTTTCAACAGCCGGCCATCTGGCTGCTGTACAGCCGACGTACTTTTTACTTTTTCTTGGGTTTTGTAATACTTGGCTCATGATAAAGTGACTTCTCCAGCATTTGCTAATACCACGGCAGCATGGGACTGTCACTCACGCATTCTACATAATGGCTTTTCCACCTTCTATTCTTCGAACCCTCTTCCTGGACAGTGTGCTGGCCTGTGGCACAGCAATCACTTAGCCTGTGCCAGTGTGTGAAGCTGGCATACACAGTGGACGCACACAGACATAGAATGTGCTCTGAGAGCTGGCCTGGGAGGGGAGGGCTGAGGGTCTGTGCAATCTCAAATTCTTTTGTTACTTGCAGCTCTGACCAGAGGCCTGTTATCCCTTCATCAAGATCCCGGCTGGCCTTCTCTGTGTCTGTATTGGACCTCGACCTCAAGCCCTATGAGAGCATCCCTCACCAGTATAAACTAGACAGCAAGATAGTCAACTATTACTCAAAGACTGTGCATGCCAAAGACGACGCTGTGAGGCCGACTCGGTTCAAGGAACACGAAGATTGCACATTGGTTCTCCATAAGGTCTAACTTTTCCCCCCTGCAGTGTCTTTGAAACTTGAATGTGAAAACTGAATGACAGAGCTATTTGCGGTTGTGTTGGGTGACTTGGCTGTGAATGTTTTTGCTTTTAACCCCTGCTGAGGTTAGACTGCCTCTCAGAGACAAGGAATTAAGGAGCACTAGAATCTTCTAGGACCAGGAATGTAGGACGTGAGTGCTGTGTCCCAGCAAGCCATCTGTTTTCTTAGGGTGGAAGTGTCCGTTAAGCCCCAGGAAAACATCCTGGGTAGTTCTTCCAAGCAGAGCTCACGTCCAGTTCTCTAATGCGAAAAGCCTTATTATTAAGACCCAAGGTTTGGATCTCTTACCACCAGACTCTTGACATAGAAAACTTGAATTGTCATGAGTATATTACGGTTTGGATTTTCATGAAAACATGGATACTACTGGAACTTCCCTAGCTATTAACCGGTCACTTGTTCAATGCAGGTCAAACATCAACGCAGGCTTTGGGCGGTCCCCTGCTGCAGAGCAGTCAGGGGTTAGTGTGGACATCAGGTCTGAGTGCTTTAGACTCATGTCCCTGTGGAGGTGCTGAAGCCCCTGGCTTTGTAATAGGAGCAGCAGCAAGGGGACACAAGACTCAGGTCGGGATGGACACCACTTGCATGAGCATTGCTTTTTTTTTTTTTAAATTCTTCCGAATGATTTAACTCTAGGGGGAGCTGAGGCGTTCTTTCTTACCTGAAATTGCTGCTGTAGAGGCTGGAGGCAGAGCTGTAACTCAGCTGCTGTGGTTGGCTGGGTGGGTGTGCCTGACAGCCCAGAGTTTTCCTAGCACTCTAGTGTCTTGGGTGGTTGGGGATCAAGGTTTCCCTTCCTCCTAAGCCACATACTCACCCCTGGGTTAGCTCTGAGGCATATTGGGTATGTGGGTCTAGGGCTTTGCTGTTTTCAGCAGGGCTATAGAAGGCTTCTAGCTGGCACTGAGGATTCTATTGGGGTCACCAAAAGTGTGCCTGGCTGCTATAAAATCATTGGGAGTTTTGGCTTCATTTTTGGCTGTACAGACTGATTATTTATATCATTCTTTTGAGAGACTAATGAAGGCTTATTGTAACATAGTAAAAACCATGGAACTGTATGAAATATGCTACATGAAAAATGAAGAAAATATTTTGCTGATTGTAAACTTTTGTGGGAAATTTTGTGATAAACTTTGAGAATTATACTTGTTTGAATCAAGTGACCTCCTATAGAATTTGTTAAATTCTGCCCTAATATTCTGACTGTTGAACACTCAGGTAAAAACACTTGTGCATTTGGATCCTGACTTTCTTTTGACTGGTGTAGGTCATGTTCTAATAACTGGGGATGTGAAACGGGAAAGCGGCCTGTTTTTGGTTTTGTTTTGACTCAAGGTTGACTGATTTGGAGGTGGACTAGAGGGGTGTGTGTGTCTGATGCCACAGAACTGATGTCAGGTATGGCTGGGTCTCAGAGAATTATTATTTAGCAATTATTATTATGGCTGGATAGATGGGCTGATAAAAACAAGCAGCATCTCCTGGGGTAAAAACAGGTGGCACACCCTGTCAGTATGAGCAGGGCTCTCATCCAACCATAGTCCTGATGCTCTGCTTAGTTTAGGATGCCCATACCAACCCCTCATCTTGGCAGCACAGCAGGTAACTGAAACACTCAACAAATGTTAGTTCCGTGTCTGACATGGTACAGCCTCAGCCTGGCTAGTTCTTATGTGGTAGTGGGGGTTGGACTCAGGGCCTTGCACACAGCAAACGATTGTTCTACCATGAAGGTACACTCTAGCCTTTGTTTTTTGAGACGGGGTGCACTGTGTGCCCAAACCTGGCTTTAAGTTTGGATTGCACTGTGTGCTGGGATTATAGTCACATACCACCCTCAGACTGTGCATGTGTCTTCAGCGAGGTTCCCAAGTAAAGGAAACAGTGCAGTCACTGCTGTCAAACAGTCCTTTAGTAGACCAAGTGGAGTGTCAGGACTTGTTGGGAGAGTCTGCTCTGCAGACCAGATGTTTAGCTTTGGGTTTTACTGTGGCTCATGTTTTCTTGGGCCAACCTGATGTGAGGTTGAAGGCTTAGCACAGCTCTTTGACAATCATTTGGGAATGGACAACCATACACTTACTTGTAACAAAGCACTACACACGTTGCTTTTAACATATCTGAAAAGCTTTATTTTCATGCCATGGGAGTTCACATGTAATGGACCCACAAATGCATGGTCAGAAGGATATAGTTTCTGACTGGAAAAGAGAAATGTTCACATGCGGCAGAAGTCACATGTTCCTCAGGCCAGCATCATATTCCTGTGTGCTGCCAGAGGGGAGCTAGTTGTTTTCCGCACTGAACAATCTTATAAGGCTGTCTAGAGCAGCTTCAATTCCAAGTACTCCCAGCAGGCTTCGGAAACTCAGAGGAGCAGTTTCTATGACCCTGTTCTTGTCCAGCTCCATGGCTGTGAAGAAAAGAAGCCTGGTAAGAAACGTCAGTGTCTGTCTATCCGACAGCCACATAGTGGGAAGCACTAGAGACAGGGCGGAGAAGACCAAGGGCCATTGTCACCTGTAACCTAAGGCAGAGAAAATGCCTTCCTCCACACAGCCTGCAAAGGCCTCAGGAGAGTAGTCCCTTCTTGTGTGCTATTTGGGTGGTTACTGATTTACAAAGTACATTTTATGACATTTTCAACTTTTGATTCTTAAAGTGTAAACCCAGATAAGATTCAGATGCCTTTGTTGGGCACACTGAGAAGTCTCTGGAAAGGCTGTCCATACACCTGGAGTCCTACCTCGCTCTGGGACTTTGGTGAGAAGGTCCAGCTTTGGGAAAACTTTCCCTTCATCATCTATTTGTATCCTCCAAACAATCACCAGTTCAAACCTGAAAAAGAGGTGAGGTTTGGTGTTTCTGCGATTTGAAAAGATTAGCCTCTGAGCACGTCACATGGTCTCTGGTGGCCAGGCTCACCTTCTAAGGCCAATTCTCCAGAGAGAAGGAAGGCAGTGATCAGTTCCATAGGACAGTTTGGAAACTTGTACACACACTATGGCAAACATCAATGGGATAAGTAATGGGACAAGCAACAGGATGTCCTGTGATAATGTTGGGCAATATACGGTGAAAATGATCTGGAATGGATAGGAAGCGGCACACACACTGTCTTCACGGTTGGACATTTATCCTAAGAGCAGCCATGTGCCATATGGCAGGAGAAACAGGATTGAAAAGCTCAAACCCTCAGGACCTGAGGAATATAGACAGAACTCCTCACTGGAGGATGAGGCATGAGAATAAATGAACTACAACTCCGTAGCCAGCAGCCCGTGTAAGGAAGACCCTGGTAGAAGGCAGACTAAGTGTGCTTAGGCTGCTGAACATGTGTCCTGAAGCACATACAGGCATATGTGCGAATACGAAGACAAGATGAAAAGCAGGAGTGTGACAGTGGCTGTGGGAGGGTGCTCTTAGGAGCCTAGTGTAAAGGGGGGGGGGGTACCTGTTTTTTAAATTTTGGCTTCTCTGTGGTTCTTGTGACGTCTGTCGTACCAGCAGATTCACATTCACACACACACACACACACACACACACACACACACACACACACACACCCCTCTTCCTTGTACACCCCAAGGACCCCGAGGCAAAGTGTCTCTTGCTGACCCCAGCCCTGCTTCCTACCTTTGCTCTTCCTTCAGGGTTACACAGCAGTCTACCTGCACACGGTTGGTGGGTGTCTGCTGTGATACCACCTGTTTCTCCATTGGATACTCTTTAGTCCTCCCAGCCTCTCCTCTGAACAGTCCTGGTTCTAGGGCTGTTGTGCTACACAGACTTACCCTGGCTGTCTGGCACTGTGGATCTCCATGCAGTGGGAACAGGTGCCCTCTGAGAGGTACAAGCTATCTGGGTACTTCTCCTGTATGTGAAAAAAAAAATAATTACAGTCAGATCCAGGAGAAACATTTTGGAGTTTGAGATGGAAGTGTTTTATGTGCTACTGGCTGGTGCTAACTCACCCACATAAGCTTCTGGCCCTTGAATCCTTGTCATGGGCCAGACCCCACCCAGGCACCCAAACTATATAGTTGGAGGTACCAGGCTCCCATTGTGTTGGGGAAAGCATATGGTCTGGTGAGAGTCACCTTCATGGTGAGACCCGTACCATTCCTGGTTGCAGTGTTCTGTCTATAGAAAACAGGAATGGGGCGAATGTCACAGGAGTAGGTACGGCTTCCTCAGGTAGTATGGCATGCCTTCATGCTTGTCCACAGCAGGATCTAGGAGGCTCTAGCATATCATAACTGACATACTGGTTTATGTCATCATGACAACAAAGTTTGTTTTCCAGGTGTCTAAATAGAAGACAAATATAACTGATGAGCACTTTTTGCCTGCTTTGTGCAAACATACTATAGGGCTAGAGGCCAAACAACAGACTTGAGATTGACATCACCACGAGGTTTTAAGGTCTCAAGGCTGATCTTTGAAATGTCCTTCCATGTATCCTCTCAGTTGCAGAAGAAGAGATGCTTTCTAGGGGTGATACCTAAGTCAAGCAAGGACGGTGAAGTACAACTACCCCCGGCCCAGCCAAAGAGCCACTGTCACCATGGGGTAGGCCTGGGACCTTAGAGCCTACCGGGGCTGAAGAGACCGGCTAGATTAAAGCATCTGGGTCCATCAGATAAGGTTCTGTGGGGACAAAGATGTACCACAACCCCTTAAAAGAATGCTCCCTCTTGGAGAGCTCCTGCTAGCATGGGATACCAAGGCTGCCAGGGTCTCTGAATGTAGCCACCAACAAAGAACACATCCAGGCCCCAAGCTGGGGTGGGCTGGTATACTTTACAGATAATTACTAATTTCAGCAAAACAAGTTTTTAGAAAAAAAATGTATACCTAAGTGATTTCAGTGGAAAGTGTTGGTTGATGTTTAAACCTCAGGCTCTTCTAAATTAATAACAACTGTTTGAGGAACGTAAAGGAGTGTGTGTGAACGTGGCAGTTCAGCTTCCAGACTGTGCTTGGCTGCAGCACATGGGGCTCAAGGGAGGGCTGGGGCTTGGGCTGGCTCCAAGGCAAAGCCTGAGGCTTGGCCTCCAAACAGGACAGAACTGGTCTCCACTCCCTAGGCCACTCTGTCGCATAAGCAAAAGGAACACTCAGATGCATTCACTAAAAAGTGTACTTTAATAACTAAGACAGAAACGCTGACATTAGACAGTGGGCAGGCATTCAAACATTCTTCTGTAAAGCTAGGACTGCAAGAGCATCCCTCCATGTAAGCTGAGGTTGCTGCATTTAGCCAGCTTCATTCCTGTGTGGTCATCTGAACTCTAGAACACTGGAGAGTAGGAAGGAAGGAATGAAAAACCAACAGCCTGAGTAGACCCCAAGAATAGCAACCTTATTAGTTACTAATACAAGGGCCGTTCTTAATGAGAGGGACATAAAAGACTTTGAGGGGGAAGGCAGAAGAGCTGTGAAAAATATCAAACAACATATTCAACGTGTTCTTGAAGATGGAGATCAGCTAGTTTCAAGAGTGATAGGAAATTTGAGAAATTTCCTCTCTATTTGACTTTGATAAAGAAAGACCAAATAGGCAGGAAGGAGTTAGTTATGGTCCCTGACTTAGACTATGTTCCATTAAAACCAGTAAGACAACAAAAGGTTCATCAGAAACTATCCATGTGATCTGGAAAGAAACTTAGTCACATTCTTCCATTAATAAAGTCACGGCCCAAAGAGGGGAAAGCTGCTGGGTAGGCCTGGAAGGATAATCTTGAGCATGCTCTGACTAGTGCACAGGTGTGTTTTGCACGTCACTGGGGGCTCTGGTGAGAGGACAATAGAAGCCTATGTATCTGCAGATGTTATCAGGAAGGCTGTTACAGAGGTGGATCTTCCAGGGGCCTCAAGAATGCTAACCAGCTGGCTCTTGTGCTTCCATTCCAGGGCTCCAGGCTCTCCAGGAGTGCAGGGCCTGGGTGCCACTGCGGACTGTTAGGGCATTGTGTACTCAGCTGTGTGCCATATGGTGGAATTTGCATGAAAAACAAAACAAAAAACCCTGGTGTTTATGATGGGGTGGGGTGGGGAATGCTGGCCATTTGATAGCCAGCTGGGTTCACTCTGTCCTGTGGCATTGGCTGATGGAGTGCAAAGGAGCTATATTTTAACAGGACTCTACAGGCTGCCTGTGCGATGCTTCAGCCACACTGGCTCAATACCATAGGAGTGACGACATCACCTCCCTTCCACTAAGTTCAATCCCATGGGCAGTTTGGATGTCCACAAATGTCAGTTCATCTTGATGTCAAAAGATTTTTGTCTGAACAACTGAATGGTTTAAAAAAAAAAAACACACCACCTTATAATTCATTAAAGTGCACAAATACAGCATAATGAAACAACTAGAACACCACAATTTTAGTAGATTGCCAAGGTGATACAACATACCACTTTAATTCTCCAAGTGTTTTCACTACTCTATAAAGAAACTCTTGGGCCTTCAGGTGTTCTCAGCACAGATTTAGGCAGCCACTAACATAGTTTCTGTTTTGGATTCCCTGTGACAGACATTTTAGACAAGTAGAATTCTGTGGTATGGACTTTTTTTTTTTTTTTTTTTTTTTTTTGGTGACATGCTTTTTATTTAGCATCTTTTTAAAGCTCATCCATATTGTCTTAAATGGCCAGTTAATATACAGATTAGTTACTACAGTGTTACCTGTTCACTAATACATACATGGATGACTGTTTTTACTTTTGGTTTGTTTTTGTTTTTAAGACAGAGTTTCTCTGTGTAGCCCTGGTGGTCCTGTAACTCACTGTGTAGACAAGACTAGCTTAAGTGCTGGAGTTAAAAATATGTGCCACCATGCCCAGCTTTTGACAGGATCTCTCTCTGTAGCCCTGGAATTCACTATGAAGAAAGACCAGGCTGGCCTCAAACTCACAGATTCACCTGCTTCTGGTTCCAGAGTGCTGGGATTGAAGGTGCATACCAGTATGCCTGACTCCATCATTAGAGACAGGGTTTCACACTGCAGCTCTGTCCGGCCTGGAACTAATCATGTAGAGCAGGCTGGCACCTTCAGAGAGTAGCTTGCCTCTGCCCCAGCTGCTAAGATTAAAGGAGTTGGCTAGTTCAAGTTATGTGTGTGTGTGAACTATATACCTATGCGGGTACCTGTAAGGCCAACACATTGGACCCCTGTAGCTAGAAGTGGGTAGTTTTGAGCCACCTGCTATGAGGGCTAGAAACTAAACCTGGGTCCTTTAAAGAGAACTACACACTTTTAACTGACTTGATTGCTGTTTAGCTGGCTAGTTATGCTGGCCAGCAGGCTCCAGGAATCCTCTTGGTTCTGCCGCCTCAGTGCTAGGATCACAAGTATACGCTGCCACACATGCACAGCTTTTGTTTTTTTTAGATTTATTTTTATATGTATGGGTGCTTTGCCTGCATGTGGTCTGTGTATCACATGCACGCCTGATGACTGGAGAGGGCATCCATTCTCATACTTCTGTTAGTGAGCCATTCCCTAGCCCAAGGCCATTACATATATTTAGGTTTATGTATAATTTTGAGGATTTTTGTTTTTTATTTTTGAGGATTCTTAAAATTAGTTCTTTTTAAACTTTTGTATGTTCTGTGAGAAAGGAGACCAACTTTATCCTCTGGCCTATAAACCATTCCAGAACCTGCTTCCTTTTCATTGTCCTGGCTCTGTTTACATATCAGTCACTTGCTTTTTTTCAAAGCTAGCCTTTAAAGCTTCTACTGTGAGCAAAACTCTTCTAATTTATCAGGGACTGATGGCAGGGCAACTGTGTATCTTCATATAAAAAGGAACCTTGGGACTGTGTTGGCATACACCTTTGATACTAGCAGTCAGGAGGTAGAGGCAGGCAGAGCTCTGTGAGTCTGAGGCCAGCTTGGTCTACAGAGTGAGTTCCAGGACAGCCAGGGCTACACAGAGAAACCCTGTGTCAGCACCTCTCCCCTCCAAAATAAACTCAGAGCCTGCTTCTCGCCACACACAAAAGATTAAAGGAATGAGTGAGTCAGAGACAAAATGTAAAGAGCTAAAAAGTATGGACCTTTTTAATAGAAAACCTGTCAGAAGATACAAAGTGAAAAGCAATGACTACAGGGGAGAGAGATTTTCTCTTTGGTAAATTGGTTTCATTATAATTGGAAACTCTTAAAAGCCATTGTAAAGATGCAGGGTGGCCTTGGGCTGAGTGAAAATATCAACAAAACAATGTGTAAAGAACAGCTGGGTGTGGTGGTGCGCACCTATCATCTCAGTCTTTCTACCCTTTGGAGGCTGAGGCAGGCAGATTACAAGTTCAGTGCCAGGCTGGACTGGCCCTGTCCCAAAACAAACAAGACAAGCAATCCACTTTTAAATGACTAACAAAGGATAAAGACAATGGAATAAGAATATGCAAGGGAAGGAGCATCACTGGTCATTAAACGAATGCAGATTCGTAGACCACAGTGACTGCTGGGTGCAAGGGGGCCAGCACAGCCTCTTTGCCAGGGATAATGGGCCTTGGTTCCCAGCTCAGTCATTTGTTGGCTGGGCAACTGAGAAATCACTTTTCAACTGTGAGCCTCAGCTGTTGTCTAATTCGAAATTGTTTGAATTGACAGAAGTTGCATGTGGTCATGCAGCTGCTGCCATCATACTCTCCCTCACCTTGCACGCACAATGCTCCCCTCAAGGACACTTCCTGTGTAACCAAAACTAAACTGCCCAAGCCAGAATGTGTGCCCGTCCAGTGTCTCAGCTGCCCATGGTATCCCCTCCTCTTGGTTCCTTCAGACCTTACACAAGCCCTTGGTCACATCTTAATGGCTTGGGTGCAGCAGCCAGCATCTCTGTGGCTCATTCTGGCTCC